GAAACCTTATATCAAATCCGTTGCAAGATTAGCGCCTGCTAAAGTCGCTTCTCTTTATCGAGCTTGTCACTTTCTTACTCTGGATTCTATACTCTATCTCTATAAATCTCAAATCCGGCCTTGTATGGAATACTGTTGCCATATCTGGGGTGAATCTTCTAATGATGCCCTTTCTCTTTTAGACAAGGTGCAAAAACACATTGTAAACATAGTTGGACCTACTCTTGCAGCCAACCTTCAACCTCTGTCACATTGTCGTAATGTTGCTTCTCTTTCTCTTTTCTACAAATACTATAATGGGCACTGCTCTAAAGAGCTAGCGTCTCTTGTGCCATCTACAAAAATTCATTCTCGTGTTACTCATCATTCAACTAAGTCTCATCCTTTTTCTGTTACTGTTCCTAAGTGCTTTAAAAACTCTTATTCGTCTAGTTTTTTTCCTCGAACATCAGTTTTTTGGAATTCGCTTCCTTCATCTTGTTTTCCTGATTCATATAATTTGCAATCTTTCAAGTCGTCTGTCAATCGTTATCTTGCTCTCCAATCTTTATCTTTTCTCTTCCAGTAACTTCCAACACTAATTAGTGGTTGCTTGCAGCCTTGTTGGAAGCGAAGATGTTAATGCAGTGGTTCCCAACCTTTTCTAAACCGTTCCCCAAATTATATATCTTAAAATCTTCATGGACCCCTTTGCTTTCGAAAATTATTACAATGTTGAACATTTTAAAAATGAAATTTTTATTCAACAAGATAATATTTTATTTAAGGTATTTTTGAATAGACTAGGCCACCAGTGACACAAAAATACTTAATCTTAGTTAATATATGATACAAAAACAGGTCAATAACTACTGTTATATATATATATATATATATATATATATATATATATATATATATATATAACAGTAGGTCAACCCAAAGTCGACAAACTATGCTTCTATAACCTTCGTCAAGTCGACACTTTTTATAATACGCTTGAATGAATTTTAGTAACGATTAGTTCAATGAAAATTTAAAAAAAAAACATACCATTGTAATTAGTGATTTCGCCGGTTATCCGGTTTTGCGGTTAGCTGGATTTTGTTCGAATATCAAATATCTATTTTCGAATAATAAAAACTGACTTAAAAATTTTACGAAATTTTATAGAAAGTACCAACGTAATTATGACGATCATTGTTTGACAAATGTTAATTTATCAAAGATTATAATAAATTTCTTTTATTAATTTAAATGTTAATTTAATCAGTTTTGTTTGACAATTTATTCTTAAAACAATTTACAAAAGAAATCTCATGATTTATTTATTACTTTTGCAACTCAAGCAATACATTTTTAAGAAAGTTTCTTCAGAATATTCTGGAACTCTAATTCGCTTATTCAGCGTATTTTTTGAACCAATAAAATTTGTTTATTCGTAGATTTGGCAGTATTTTAGTGTTAGCAAATACTCTTTATATTATCTTTTTGCAACAAGTTGTTTTGAGAACATTCAAGTTTATCTGTGTTTCCATCTATGTCCACATAATAATAAGTTTTTAAAATACACGCTAAAAAAATTAACTTCATAATATCTCATTTTTCCAAATCAAATGTTTTTATATGAAAGAATGATTTTAAAACATCCGCTGATATTAAAACATTTAAACTATACTTGTACATTATTTCTATCTTTTTTAATTATATAATTAAAAAGGTATATTATATTATAATTTAAAAAATATATATATCTTTTTCCATGTTTTGTTATAAATATATAAAATAGGACTGTATTCAATAACTGTTTTGAAAATGTACACTTTAACATTAATTTTTAAATAAGTAGTTTAAAACGCTACGCTCGTTGAAATTTAGAAGATCCTGTATTCAGAAAGCGTCACTAATTTACTGAATAGTCGGTTAACCCCAAATTTATAGGAACTGTTATCCGGAATGTGAAAGAGATTTTTATAAGAAAACATTAACAAAAAAAACATGCGGAAAACTATAAAAATAAACTTTTACGATCTATAGGTCGATAGTTAAGAGATTTTTTGTTTGAAATATAAAGATATATTTATTATAATTTTTGTTCAAAATATAGATAAACTATTTAGTAAAATAATATATGACCAGTTTAAAAAAAAATTAACATTTAGACATTATATAATATGTTATTTTTCAACTATAAGCAGACTTATTCTACTCGTAAATCTTGCGTCAAGTCAACAATAATAAATATATATACTTATATTTTTATATTTCTATGTTTTTATTAATTTTTTTAATATAAATATATGTAAAAATGACATATAAATTTTAAAATATGCGTATAAAATTTATTTTATACAATTTCTACGACGTCAAGTTGAAATATAAGTGCATGTGTTAAAATCGCTAAGTCTACAAATTTTCTATTTCTTTTTAAAAAAGCACTTAAATGATTACTTAAATTTTTTTTCTATACAAATACTTGCTATTTTAAAAAAAAAAAACTTTAATTAAAATTAGTGGTTTAAAAAATTATGTAAACTGAAAACCTCTATGAAATGTGTATTAAGAACTTTTGTAAATGTGTAAGAAGAAAATCATATTTATATAAGTTAAGAATAAGTTAATGATTAATGTACAATTAATTTTGTATATTTGAATTTAACTATATACAAATTAAACCTATAATTTATAAATAAAATAATTCTCAGAAATTTTAATGAATAATATAATAAAACCATTTTAACAAAAAAAAAACATCAACAAAAAAAATTGCAGCTATTAATACAATTTCATATCTTAAATTAAAAAAATAATTAAGAAAACTAAAATCAAAATATTTTTGAGAAATTGAGAAAAAAAAATTGTTACAGTTAAGTATAATAAGTAATATATTAAATAAGTAAAAAGTTTAACAAACTCTTCTATACAATCTCAACACACTTTCTTTCATTCTTAAGATTATAGGAAAAGCAAAAACAAGGACCAAAGATAACAATAAAAATTAGAAATATTTTTATAAGAAACTTTCAAGTTAAAAAAATATTTATTTTAAATTAATCTCATGGTATTTGAAAACATTAGAAATTTTTATTTTACAAACGTGGGAAATTTTATGAGTTATTTTAGAAAATAAAACAATATAGGTTGGATTAAAAAGTTAATAGTAAAAATAAAATCTCATATAACAAAAGAGATCTGTAAACATTTGTACTTTAATAAAACATAATTATTCTAATAGTTGTCTTATGTTTTACTTAGAATATATTAAAATTAATACCAATAACTATAATAAATATATAGATAATATATAAAAACAAATCTAGAAAAAATAATAATGGTTTTATTTATTTTAGTTTTTACTTATTAACATTAAATACTTGAAGAAAATTTTAATATATTTCTATTTCATGTTAGAAAAATCTTCCAAAAGTAAAAACAATTTAAAAATAATAATAATAATAAATGTTACACTATAACTGTTGCCACAAAGCATTAAATAAATTTTTAAAAAAACAAATAAATGAGGAAAAAGAAAAGGATAAAAGTTTATGCAAAAACTTTTGTTCAAATCTAATATTTTATTATCTAACAAAACTTTATTATTTTCTTTATAACATTTTTTCCCAGAAAAAAGCAGATATAATTAAATTTTAATTAGGTATTTAGTTTTTTTTTTAATTTGATGATTACTTTCTCATTGAATTTTATACCAACACCAGAACATAAAAACTTTAACAATTATCTTTTAATTGCAAACCATATATATGTTCTTTTCATTGAGTTTTTCATATATATGTTCTTTTCATTGAGTTATGAAAAAGTTAATTATAAACATCAAACTTAAAAAAACTTTTTGTTGCAATAAGCTTAATCACTTTTATAGGTTTGTTTGTTTGTTGTTTAGTGTTGTTAATTATATTTATTATAGATATAGTATCAAGTAAAACTTTAAAAAATGTGTTCCAGTTGGCTTTATAATAATATAAATAAAATCTAATTACCTATATAAGTTAAAAAAGATTTATTGCGAGATAAAGCTTCAAAAATATTTTTTTAGTTGCAAGGTTATCTACTCTTAGATTAGCATACCTACTAAAATAGTGTGTTTATGTTCTATTATTTTTTTAAGAATTTCTTGGACACTCAATAGAACTACTTTGACCAATATGACTGAACATATATACTATATTTCCATTTTATATACTATATTTACTCATTACACTTTCTGTAAAAAGTAAAAAAAAATATTTATATGTAACTTATTTAAAACTTTTTATAAAAAAAAATCATTCCTAAAAAGCAGTCTTATCTGTTTAGCTAGTGCTTTCACGGTCAAGTCTTTTTGGGCTTGCCCACACCCATGCAAAAACTTTGGTAAGTACATAAAAAAGTGCTAGCCAAAAAAAATAAACCGTTTTTATCTTAAATTGCAATATTTTTTTGTACATTTGTTTAACTTTTATGAAAAATATTTTTTTACTAGTTTTTCTTTTAAATTATTTTATCTAGTATTTATTCAAAGCATTCTTTTCACTATTTTCTTAAAAATTTAAATAGCAAGAAAAAATGAAATTTTTTCTTGTGATAAGAGAATGTATATATATAAATATATATATATATATATATATATATATATATATATATATATATATATATATATATATATATATATATTATATATATATAAAATATATATATATCTATATCTATATATATATATATATATCTTTATATATATATATATATATATATATATATATATATATATATATATATATATATATATATATATATATATTTATATATATATATATATATATATATATATATATATATATATATATATATATAAATATATATATATATATATATATATTTATATATATATAAATATATATATATATATATATATATATATATATATATATATATATATATATATATATATATATATATATATATATATATAAAGATATATATATATATAGATATAGATAAAGAGATATATAGATTAAGATATCTACCTGGATTAAAAATCAGGTGAGGCAAATCTTTTGTTATTCCAATAAAGTCATATGGATGATATGAAAAAGAATCACACTGGTTGATTTCCATTTTATATTCTAAAAAGATGATAGTTTAATAAGTTAGGTAAAATACTATTTTAATTTATTAAATGCTTAAATGATATTGATTAGAAAAGCCTATAAACAATATTTAGTAATAACAATATTATTAACAATAATAGTGTTATTTATAGTAGGCAACAATTTATGGTTAATGTGTCTCCATTTGTACATATATTATTACATGCATGCATGCATGCACAACTTTACGTATAGCTTAAGAAAGGTGAGATTGTCATTTCTATGTTCTGCTGAAACTTTTGAACATTTTACATACATACATACATACATACATACATACATACATACATACATACATACATACATACATACATACATACATACATACATACATACATACATACATTTAACAATGTAGTTACTACATTGTTAAAGTAATTGTCTAAGTATTCTACTTCATTGTCAAGATCTAAGAATTCTACTACAGTAGTAGAATTCTTAGATCTTGACAATGAAGTAGAATACTTAGATCTTGTCAATTTATCATACACAGTATAATAGATCTTTTTTTTTTATTCTCTCTTTTATTTTTGTTCTTGAGATCAAAAAAGTAATAAAAAAAAGTTTCATATGAAAAGCATATCTACAACCAAAAATGATACATTTAAATAAGATTTCCTTAAATCTATCACATTAGTAATACATTGTTGCTGTGTATAAATAATATTTTCTAATTTTAAATTTTGAAAACAATGCAATAAATTTTACTACTAATAAATAATTAGTAAAGTCATTAGTAAAATCATTGAATGATTTTTTGAATAGTCTCTGGCTTTAAAAAAAAATCTAAATTTATATAAAAGTTTATAGATGTGTAGATATTTTTTATAATTTATTAAAGTGAACTTTGTATTATTATTAAAAAAAAATTTATCTGAAAAAAAAGTTTTCTGCTTGACAATTTACCAGTTTTTTTCTGCTTGACAGTATAGTTAAGCCGGCCTGCCTAATAACATTTTATACGTTAATGAGGCCTTCACATTCTTATTAAGCATAAGGACCGGAGCAATTTCGCCACAGTTCACTGGGGTTTAAAATTTAAGGTCATAAATTAACAGATTGACTGATTCGCAATTAGCAGTCTTACCTTGAAGGCACAAATAGAATATTTTTTTAATACCGTTGATCCATGTTTAATACTCAATTAGCAAGTCAAAAAGTTGTTAAAATTTGTATAAAAACGTCACATATCAGAAAATATTAGTGATCAAGATCTTGTTAGAATAAATCCAACTTCGGGGAATTTCTATACATTCATGTACATTTTTAAAATTATATCATTTGAACACGGATTTTTTTTATGTACTCTTTGAACATTTTTTATGCGCATTTTTTGAGATTATTCATGCAAACAAAGATTTCCCTTCTGAATTTAATCTATGACGTATATTGGCGCAATAAATTTAATTATACGACCAGTGAGACGGATCCAGCATTTTTTGGTGTTTGAGCTAACTTCCAGACATGAAGTTTATACTCCAAACATTTTTATGTTTATACTTATGTTAAGTAAAGATGTTTGGCAAAAAAATGCGATGATAAGACAGACGCAGGAAATAAAAAAATTCTCAATTTGAGGGGATTACAAGTTTTATGAGGTCATAATTTTTGAACGTTGATAGATAATACAATGAAACTTAAAATTTATAAATGGATATAAGTCAAGTTGAGAATAGTACAAAAAATATTTTATCAGTTTGTTACCCTCACGTTTGAGGTGTGGAGGGGGGAGGGGGGTTGAAATTTTAGGGATTTTTTGTATGTACAAATGCAGACAAATGTTGACCATAAAGTGTTGCCTACTATAAATAACACTATTATTGTCAGTTACGTTTAAAGACAATTCTAATCAATATTATTTAAGCATTTTATAAATTAAAAAAGTCTTAATTTTTTTTTCTTGCGAACTTTCGGAGTTCGAGAGAATTAAGACAAAGTTTTTCAAAAAAAATCATTTTTTTACTGGTAAAATAATTTAATTCTTTTTTTTTCTACGTTGCTTTTTTATTTTTAAAAATTTAAGTGCTCTCTTTAGAAATTTTTTTTTCAATGACAACCTAATGTGACGTGACAGTTGACAGAGAATTTTATAATATTTTAAATTAATTTTAAAAACAAACAAAAATCAAAGATAAAAATATTAAGTTAATTTATCTTGATAGTGTAATTAAACATTAGTTAATTCAAAGCTAAGTTATTTAATATAGATGAATTAAAAACAAATATCTGAAGATCAACAGGGGACAAATGGTGTAGCGATAAACATACTATAATTTAAATGTTTAACACGACGTATAGCTTAAGAAAGGTGAGATAGTCATTTCTATGTTCTGCTGAAAATTTTAAACATTTTTTATAATGGAAAAATTAAAAGAGTTTGGCTTAAACAGTGAAGATATTACAATTAAAACTACGGATGGTTGTACGTGGATGTTGAAATTGGGTACCGTAATTATGTTTCCGGATCAGATCTCCCAGAATTATTCAATTCATTTTAGTTTGTTTTTTTTTGATATACGCAAAAAAAGTCTCAAAATTGTGGGCTGCAAATAAACTGAATCGGATATTAAAGCAGAAAAGGAAACGGAAGACTGAGGGAGAATTGCTTATTAATTATTCGGAGGAAAAGATTCAATATGAAGAAAATGTCAAAAAAAAAACTAAAGAAACTTCGAATACTTATTAAGTTCTTAAAATGTTCATTGTTTTAATTTGAAGTTCTAAAAGAAATATACACAAAATGTACAGATCTTTACATGACAATGGACTGCTGCTCGACAATCGCACAAGGTGAAGCAGTGTTTTTGAGATAATAAAAGATTTTTGGATTTTTTTATCTATTTTTTTTTTTTTTATTTACAGCTCAGAAAGTGTAAAAAAAAAAAAAAAAAAAAAAACTTTAAATATTTCATTTAGAAACCAAGTAAAAATTCGAAATTAACTTATTTTTTTTTTAATTTCTTGATGCTACTTAACCAAAATCAAAGTTATTATTTTTTATTTCTATATCAAAAAAAAATAAAATAAACACTGGACAGTAGACATATATTTCTCAAAAAAATCGAACCTTTAACTTTTTGCCCCCCTTGAAAATTTGAGTACTCTACGCCCATGATCACTATGATATTGTGTTTCTTTCTCTAAACAATGGATGAAATAATCCATCAATAGCAATACTTTTTTTTTTTTTTTTCTTTTTTTCTCTGTTTACATAACATAAGAACTTTACAGATTCTACTACAAAATATAAAATTTAACAAAATAAGTAAAACAGATAGGGACTCAAAGAAGATGAGGATGACAGAACGTCATCGCAATCTTTTCATAGAACCCCTTTAACAAGATTTAATTAAATTATCGTAATATGACATACAAAATTAAAATGTCAATAAAATATCATAACAAAATGCGTAATCCGCAAATAAAAATTGTCAAGCAACAAACAAAAGCAGAAACAAAACAAAAACTTATTTAAGAGAATTTATCCAAAGCATTATTAACAAAAAATGTTTCACCGGTTTTAAAGATTTCTTTTTTTGTTAAAAACTTGAATGAACTTAACGAACTCACCGTACCTTTGAACCCTTTCTAAAAAATTTTCCATACTTTTGGACCTCTATATAAAATGCTGTATTCTGAATATTTATTTATTATCCTTGGCAGTTTATATGTGTTCAACATATTCGCTCTAAGATTATAGTTTTCATTTTTATTTAACTCAAACTTGTTATTAAAGCTTATAGGAGAGATATTGTGATTGTAACGATACATGAAAATTAAATGCTGGTAGATATTTATTTCAAATACATTCATCATTTTCATATCTTTCATCAAGGGATTAGCGTGTTCCCGCCTATTTTTAAAGTAAATGATTCTACAGACATGTTTCTGAAAACTATAAAGTTTCTTAAGCTTTGCTGTTTGAGTACTTGTCCATAAAATGTTTGCATAGCTGATGAGTCTGTGAATTAGCCCAAAGTAGATTAATTTAAGACTATTTGTATAAATGTACGAGCGAACTCGATACATTAAACCTATGATTTTGGTAATTTTTGACTGGATATATATTATATGAGGAAGCCAGGATAATTTTTCATCAACAACGATTCCCAAGAATTTTATATTGGATTGCTTTTTAATTAATTTATCATTTATAAATAGGTTCGGCAACTTGAGAGGAAGATTTTCTTCTTGTGTATATACATCTTTATCAATACATACAATACAGTACAATATCAGTACAATATCAATACAGTACTTTATCAATACATACAATACAGTACAATACATCTTTATCAATTTTATTTTGGCTTGATAAACATTGCCCCCTCCCCCCTCCTTTAGACTTTTTTGAAACTTTTTTTTGTAAATTTAAGGAGGGGAAGAGGGGGGATTTTACTTAATGATTAAAATGTATAATTTAGACAATGGACGATTGTGAAATGATTTTATTTATTTGCAAAATTAGTCACTGGTAAATAAAAGAACTTGTTCTGAATTAAAATGTTTATTGTTCAAAATAAATTTCAATTATTATTAGTTTTATTTGAATTATTTCAAATAAAATATAATTACATAACTAGTTTGTACATATGTATTAAAATGTGTTAAATTTAGATAATATCGACAAAAAACAATCTTGTACTTTAGCAAAACAAAATTCAAAAATATAAACAGAAAACAAGCTGGAACAAAGCTTCTCGAAAAATCTACATGATAATAATGTGTTTTAAAATCATATAGCAAGGTAACATTAGAAATAAATAACTATTTACATTTACCTTCAATTAGCTCATTAATTGTTGCCGATATTTTAATAAGAATAAAACAAAATATTTAAATACATATGAACATATAACTGTAAAGAATAATTTTCATGCACAAAAAAAAGTAGATCAATTTTTTTATAGTTGATCATTTTTAAATTAAAAATTGCCGAATCTGAACGTGCCTTCTCAACCTGTGACCCAGAGACGTGTTTTAACCTCCGCTTTATCCTGCACTGAAATGATTCAACATAGTTGGTCTTAGCTTCTGTTAAGGGATTTACAAACTTAATAGTATGACTAAAAGTCAAAAGACTAAACCCAAATAATTTATATAAGCAATAACATAAGCCATAAAAATATCAATTCCCTGCTTCTTCAATCTATAATTCAGATGAATCAGGTCTGTCTACTGTGCTTAATAAGCTACCCGTGGTTTTCATTCCTACAGGATCTAGAAGAGTTTCTAAAATTATTTCAGCAGAGAGAGAAAGAAATGTAATTATAGTGTGTTGCATTGGCGCTACTCGCTTTTACCTACCACCTTTTCTGATTTTTTCCAGAAAACGAATTTTCCTGAACTTGTAGAAAGAGCCCCAAAATGGAACTGTAAGCGATTGTAGTGATAACGGCTGGAACAACGAGGAAACCTTTCTATATTTTTTGCAGACAAAAGTATTAGTGATCTTTTGAGCACCGCTTAATTTAAAGCAGATGGAAATGTTGTTAATGGGTTTAATGAATGTAGGATTGAGCCTTATACCTTGTGTTTAGCGAACATAACTTTGCTGCTGCAAAAACTACTGACCATGATGTTGTTGGCGATCAAACTGACAACAGTAATGCTAATCCTCAGACCCAAGAAGTAGAAAACCATCATGCAAAAGAACTTATAACAAATGCTAATTCAGATGCATCAAAGAAGTCAGTTAGTGTATTTGATTTCAAATCATTGTCTAAAGCAAATGAACATAAGAAAAAAAGAAAAAATGAGCTCAAGCATTCTTACAAGTACACAAAGAACTGTTAAAACAATGAAATAAACTGAAAGTAGAACAAGAAAATTTAAAAAAACAGAGAAAAGAAGCTTATGAAGCTAAAAAGGGTGCACATAAACTTAAGCTAAGTTCCTATAAGCCTAAGTCTACAAAATCCGGGACAAACATTCTATTTGCATCAACATCAAAGTATGATGTTATAAGATGTCCTGCATGTGAAGAGGAATATGTGTGACCCTCCAACAAAAGAATGGATTTAATGCTATAAATGCCAACAGTGGTCGCATGAGGAATGTTCAAATTATGAAAATAGTATATTTATTTGAGACTATTGTTAGCGGTACAACTATATTATTACAGTAAGAAGCGAGCAATGACTATAACTAGGTTTTACAAGCGTGCAACTAAAATATTTTTACAGATCGCATGACGATCACGTGACACAAATAAGAACACGTATAAAACTAATAACACGCGATAGGCCTTGAGTGCTATCGCAACACTCCCCCTGACAAAGAGGAACAAAAGCGGAACT